AAAAGCGTTGTTTCGCGGGGCAACAGTGGAGGGGGGAGACGAGGAACGCGAAACCGTTCGAACCCGTTTCGCTCCCCATGTATTTACAACGGGAGGCCGTTTGCCGGGGTAATTAGCGATACCGGCTAATTGACCGGCGATAGGACGCCGAGCGCGTTTAATGACGCGCTTCTAATTGCCTGCAGCCGTCGCGCGCGTACTTTTATTCCGCAGCCGGTGAAACGGATTAAGCGGACAACGTAATGGCCCCCCGCATGTGCGTGTACGCACCCCCTCCGGCGCGGCTAATCTGTTCGGAGAATCGCGTCGCTTGTTCCTGCGGGTCGCGACAATCACCAGCGAAAAAATTAGTCGGATCGTCTTTCATCTCGGCTTTGATTTATTTCTGATTTATTTGAATGATATCACGTAATTTAGTAATAGAAGAGAAAGAGTGAATACGGTTTCACTTTTAATAAATGGATCGTTATGAGGAATTAACTAAATTGGTTTACATGTAGGTGAAGGTAGGAGCAAATCGAGAGAAAGTGTAATATACTGTTTTAAAAGCTTACTCGACGATATTGAATTAATATTGGGTTAAAAGATTTCTGAAATTTTAATTTATAATATTTAGAAACTGCAAATGTACCGACGCTAATAATATCGAAATTGACATTGTTATTAAAGGGTTAAGTACGAACATACTTAAAAATTACGATTGTCATCGTTTAATTAGTATTGATAATATCAATACTAACGTTGTAACCTGAGGAAAGGTAAAATGTAGAAGCAATTAAAAATTGTAATCGTTACTGTAACGTTAACAAAGGGTGCGCAGTCCACGGAACACGAAATTCTAGTCGAGTCGACGGTTTTCCAGAGAAGTTCCCCGCGTTGCAAAAGATAGATAGAAACGTCTCCGTCCAGGATCCACGTTCCGCGGATGCCAGGTGCATCCCGGGACATTTTGCGCGCCGTACTGCGGGGTCCGGTTTCACGGTTTCGAGCCTCGTAAACTTCACGCTTAATCACGGCGTTCCGGCTCGCACGCACGGTAAACGATCTCTCTCTCCCGCGTCACGCTTCGTCCACATCTCGAGAGTCTCGAGCGTGAAACCGTGAGCCCCCTTGACGAGATAACGCCTCCAAATTCTTCTTCCGTTTCGTGGATCCTGCGCAGGAGACGCACACACTAAACGGAAACGCGTCTGCTTGAAACGACGTCCTCTGACCGATCGTTTCCTCGAAAACACCGTGGTTCGCGGAAACCTTTTGCATTCCAATTGATAATTGACTGCTCGAGCAATCTCGAAATTGCCTTCGTTTTGTGCACTGGGTCGAATCGATCGTTGAGGATTATTAATGAATTATTTCCATAGAACGGAACGTCGACATTAATCCGTTAATGTGTATGTACATTTGAATATCTCGCTGAGATTTTATTTGTGGAAAAGTTTAAATTGTTCGATTAATCTCAGTTGAAATTTGTAATAGAGTTTGCAGATTTATGGATAGCGATATGTTAAAATGCAGTTCAACGTTATAATTG